GAGTCTCACTCTGTGGCCCAGGCTGGAGCGCAGTGGTGCGATCTCGGCTCACTGCAACCTCCGCCTCCTGGGTTCAAGCGATTTTCCTGCTTCAGCCTCCTGAATAGCTGGGATTACAGGCACCCACCACCATGCCCAGCTAATTTTTGTATTTTTAGTAGAGATGGGGTTTCATCATTTTGCCCAGACTGATCTCAAACTCAGGTGATCTGCCGGCCTCAGCCTCCCAAAGTGCTGGGTTTACAGGCGTGAGCCACTGTGCCCAGCCTGTGAGTTGTTCTTAGTAGGATAATTATAAAGAGAAGAATCGAGGGATAAGAAAGGAAGAATGTGAGGGAGAGCTTAGCAGTAATATTGCTGCAGTACAGCTTTGAGAGGCAGGCACTGCTGAGAGGAAGAAAACCTTGTCTTTAGGATTAAACTCTGGTTTACGCTGTAAAGAAGGCGACGCACGGCACCTGTGCTCTGGTAGGTGGAGTTGAGGTACATCGTTTGTGTGAAGGGCTGAGGCTGTATGTGTCTGGCTGAATTTCTGCAATCTAGGTGGGGCTCAGTGGTAGGCATATGCCTTAAAACAAGAAAGACTGAATATTTGGATGGAAGTTTCAGCACAAGTACAAATGCCATTCACATGCATATGTATGTAACAAGGAAAGCAAATTTACAGGCATCCCATTGAATTGTGGGGGTGGGAGATCCTAGGAAATGTAATGCCTTATGCCTTGTAATAACTTAATTATTGATAAATCATTAGTCTTTTAAGGTCCCTTACTGAATTGGTTATCTTTATTAATTATCATGTAAAAATAATTTTTGGAGTGCATTTTGGTTTAGTTGGGACTTGTATTCTTCTTATCCTGTTTATTTCATAAGGCCGACTGGGAATTCCCTTGCAATGGGGTTTTTAGACGTCTTACCCTTCAGGCTGGTTCAATAATGAAAACAATTGTTCTCAACTCACTAGCTGAGAATATTCATGTCCATTCAGCGAGTAATTGCTGAGCACCAGGCCCTGTGTGACCACTGTTGAGTGTCCCAGGCACAGTGGAGAGGCCATGCATCCACTTGTGGGGACAGGCATCGTGCTGCCTATGGAGGCAAACCGCATCGCAGTAGGAGCCACGGGAAGCCAGCACGCCTGGGCGGAGGGCGAGGGGGGGAGGAGGCAGAGGGGAGCCTGCGAAGGAAGACCTGACAGTCATGCCATTCCCCTTCCTTTGTGTTCTCGAAGCCAGCATTCCTTTGTCCAAGAGGGAAGAATGTACTCTAAGCAGGACATTTACGCTGTAGGCAGTGGGGACCACGGGCCTGCTGTACGTCAGGACAAAAAAGTCAGAGCTTGGCGTGCCAGCACTGAGGCTGCCTTCCCTGTGGCTGGCTTCAGGGAGAAGGACCCTGAACGAGGATACTCTGAAAAGGGTTTTGAGTTTAGCACAACTCATTGTTGATGGTCTGGATGCCTTGATGGGCTGGAAGTTTTCTCAAGGGGGTTTGAGCCAAAGATGTGGGTGTAGACGACTAGTAAGTCTTCCAGGAAGTGTGGGGTTCTTAGCAAGGAGAGTGGGAAGAGGGGAACGTTCCTGGGCCCCTGCCTCCATCTCTTTCTGATGCGGAGGGTCCTGGGTAAGTTTCCATGACCATGGAGGTCAGCCTTTTGTGAAGGAAGGTCAAAGGCACTGAGGAGAGAGTGGCTGTGCCCAGAGCCACGTTCCTGAGCGGGCCGTGGAAGGCCGTGGGACCCGTACACAAGTGGTGGCATGACCCTAAGGCCGGAGGGAGGAGGGAATGTGGATGGGTGTGGAAGCAGGTGTATTTGTAGGCCTGAGGACTCAAATTTAAGTAGCGAGTGTGAGAGACAGAGGGAAAACTGTGGCAGTCATGTATCGACAACGCTCTGGGAAAGGCAGCTCCCGCAGCAGCGAGCGACCCGGCAGACTCTAACTCCAGTGCTGGGGCAGAGCGTGCAGACTGCAGGGCTGTGGACCAGAGCCTGCCTCACCAGCTGTGCAGCCTTTAGCAGCAAGCCCACAGACTTCAGGCTTTTGCCCAGGATAGCCTCACTCTTTAACCCTCCTCTGCTCATGTCTCAGTACCGCCAGGGAGGCCCTGTCATTGCGGTGCAAGTGGAGAATGAATACGGCTCATTCAATAAGGATAAAAAGTACATGCCCTATCTCCACAAGGTAAGAGGCCCTGGGTTTGGCCCCATGTTTACATGCCTCCTTCCTCCATCTGTCTCTTTTCTGGCGTCCTTTTCTGGTTCCTGGCTGCCCAGGTGAACGGGCTGGGCACTGTGCCTTCTGAGAATGTGCAGTTGGCCTGTGAACACGAAGGGCTGAGGGGTGCCGGCCCCCTGCGTGGCTGAAATTTGTGTATAACTTTCAACTCCCTCAAAATTTAGTGACTAATATTTGACTGGAAGCCTTACCGATTATAAACAGTTTGATTAATGCAGGTTTTGTATATCTATTGTATACTATATTCTTACAATAAAGTAAGCTTCAGAAAAGAAAATGTTACTAAGAAAATCATAAGGAACAGAAAATATATTGACTTTTCATTAAGCAGAAACGGATCATCATAAAGGTCTTCATCCTTATCATCTTCATGTTGAGCAAGGCTGAGGAGGAGGAGGAGGAGTTGGTTTTGCCGACTCAGGGGTGGCAGAAGAGGTGGAGGAGGTGGAAGGGGAGGCAGGGAAGGGAGTTACATTGGTTGTAACTTGTATTAAAAAAACCCAAGTGTAAGTGGATCTGCATAGTTTAAACCTGTGTTGTTCAAGGTTCAACTGTAGACCAAGTTCATTTTCTCTGTGAATTTACAACAGTCAGGACAATCAAGATGTACCTAAATAACATTTTTTTTCTTTTTTTCTGAGATGCAATGTTGCTCTGTCACCCAGGCTGGAGTGCAGTGGCACAATCTCAGCTCACTGCAACCTCCACCTTCCTGGTTCAAGCAATTCTCTGCCTCAGCCTCCTGAGTAGCTGGGATTACAGGCACCTGCCACCATGCCTGGCTAATTTTTGTATTTTTATTAGAGATGGGGTTTCATTATCTTGGCAAGGCTGGTCTTGAACTGCTGATCTCGTGATCCACCCACCTCGGCCTCCAAAGTGCTGGGATTACAGGTGTGAGCCACCACGCCCGGCCGAGATGTACCTAAATAATTTTTTTAGAAGATAGAACACGACGTTAAAGGGCGATTCCTTTCTGTTTTCTATCTCTGTGACTGATGATTCTTATTAAAGCTGGGGTTGGTGAATCTTCCTCCACTGTAAACAATGCTTCGAGAACTTAGTGATGTGGCTGTCAGCTTGACGCTTTCTGACCTGTAGGATAAAGGTCATCTCTTCTGTCCCCCTTGCTCCTTCATGGAGAGACATCTCAGGCCTGGGCATAACTGCTGTCCTGCCTGCTGTCCTTTCTGGTGGCTCAGCCCCTGCTGGCCCCTGACTTCTCACATTCAGGAAGCTGATGAGATTCGGTCTCAGCTGAACTCCTTAGGCTGCCATGCAGGGTGCAGGGCTGCACGGCTGGCCTGAGCCATCCTGACTCCACCCTTGACTCTGCAGCAGTGCCCACGCGGAGACCTCTGGCTGGAGGCTGGGAGGGGAGGGGCAGGGCTCCCCAGCTGGGCAAAGTGGGGAGGAGGGTGGGGCTGGACTTCATCCACATGCCGGCTCCTGCCCTACAGCTGTGGCTTCTGGAGTTGGACAAGGCCAGAGAGTAATTTCCTTCCCTAACTTTTCCCAGGGGCTGTGTGGCTGCCCTCAATCAATCTTTTTCAGCTAGCTGTATTTGTTTTTGATTTTAAAATGTACTGGCTGGGCCCAGTGGCTCACACTTGTAATCCTAGTAGTTTGGGAGACTGAGGCGGGTGGATCACCTGAGGTCAGGAGAATCGAGACCAGCCTGGCCATTGTGGCAAAACCCCATCTCTACTAAAAATACAAAAATTAGCTGGGTGTAGTGGCACGCACCTGTAATCTCAGCTACTTGGGAGGCTGAGGCAGGAGAATCACTTGAGCCTGGGAGATGGAGGTTGCAGTGAGCAGAGATTGCACCACTGGACCCCAGCCTGGGCGATGGAGCGAGACTCATCTCAAAACAAAAAAAAAAAAAAAAAGAAATTACCATTCAACTCCCCTCCCAGGCCAGATCTGGCTCGATGAACACAGGAGACGTACAGTGTGGCCTTGGCTGCCTCATTACCATGTTTTTTCAGATTAGATCTTCCCATCCCTGCAGCCATGGCAGGCTTCCTTGTCCCCCTCGACAGTGTTCAGGCATCACTGGAGCTTGGCAAAGTCCCTGCTGGCTCTCAGGACCCCACAGCCGCAGCCTCCCGCCTTCCAGCACAGAGTTGCTTCCTAATCTTCTTCCTCTTCTTTCAGTGACTTAGATCCTCTCCCAAGGCGTTTCCTGGTAAACTTAGACCTTTTTTTCCCTGGAGGCTTTGATCACAGGGTGTCAGAGCCCACACTCGGCTGATTTTAGGGTCATTCCCCACAAAAACCACCAGGCTGAGATGGAGACAGTGAGTTCCCCCAATTTACTAAGCTGCAGAAGGTCAGACTCTGAAGTCAAACCCTTGTCTAGTTCACATCCCGCTCAACTGAACCGTGCGGTGTTTAGTTCCCAATATTCTCATATAGTCGTCCCTCGGCATCCATGGAGGATTGATTCCAGGGCCCCCATGGATACCAAAATTGGTGGGTGCTCAAATCCTTGACATAAAATGATGTGACATTTCCATGCAACCTATGCACATCCTCCCATATACTTTTTTGTTCTGAGACACAGTTTTACTCTGTCACCCAGGCTGGCATGATCTCAGCTCACTGCAACCTCCACCTCCAGTTTCAAGCGATTCTTGTGACTCAGCCTCCCAAGTAGTTGGAATTACAGGTACACATCACCACACCCAGATAATTAGAGAGGATTTCACCATGTTGGCCAGGCTGGTCTCAAACTTCTGACCTCACGTGATCTGCCTGCCTTGACCTCCCAAAGTGCTGGGATGAACAGGCAGGAGCCACCGCGCCTGGCCTCTCCCATATACTTTTAAGTTATCTCTAGATTACTTCTAATACCCAATACAATGTAAATGCTACATAAATAGTTGCTATATAATACTCTTTAGGAAATAATGACAAGAAAAAAGGCTTTACATGTTCAGTACAGATGCAATTAAGAAATATCTTTTTGGCCAGGGGTGGTGGCTCACACCTGTAATCTCAGTGCTTTGGGAGTCCCAGGCAGGAGGCTTACTTCAGGCCGGGAGTTTGAGACCAGGCTGGGCAACAAGGTGAGACCTTGTTTCTACAAAAGAAAAAAATAGCAGGACGTGGTGGCGTGTGCTTGTAGTCCTAGCTACTCAGGAGGCTGGGGTGGTAAGATGGCTCGAATCCAGGAGTTTGAGGCTACAGTGAGCTATGACCGTGCCACTGCACTCCAGCCTGGGAAAACACAGTAAGACCCTGTCTCTAAAAAAATTTAAAATTAAAAAAGTAAAAAAAAAAAATTTTCTGTGATTGCATAATCCAGGGATGCAGGACCCATGAATATGGAGGCTGTATGTATTTCTTTTTTCCCATGGGAGTGAGGGAAGTGGGTTTATTTCGGTCAGTTTTCTCAACAGGCCCTGCTGAGAAGAGGGATTGTGGAGCTTCTCTTGACCTCCGACAGTGAGAAAAATGTGCTGAGCGGCCACACCAAAGGAGGTGCGCATTCAGAGTTAGTTCACAGGAGAACAAGGTTCTCAGCCAGCCGGTATACATCTCGAACGCACCCCAGAGGAAACCATGTGCATCTCGCCGCCTCCCTTTCCCACGTCTGCTGGCGTAGATCCTGGGGTTCGATGTTACAATAAATGAGGGCTCAGGGTCAAGGCTCAGGGCCAGCTCCCTCTCTTGGCCTTGCTCTTGCCATCTTTAAACACAGCCACACTGGAGCTCCTCTGTCCTCAGGACACTTGTCCACCTCCCATAGTTCTTCTGTGGCAAGGCACCTGCACTGGTGCTGGGCCTGGCTTGGGATCAGGGCCGTCTCTACCAATGTGGGAAACCACACAGGGAACCAGAAGATGGGTGTTGTGTCAGGAACCCCACCTAGGCCCAGTTCCATTCCTGGGATCCTACCGCCCAAGGCTCTGTGTGGACATGGACACTTAGGAGATCCTAGAGAATTAAGTGGCAGGATGATTTGGGACGGACTCCTCGGATGGCAATAGTGAGGGACACGCCCGGGCGTGACAGGCCAGTGGGGCAAGCTGCTGCTGGCAGCCGCTGTTCTGCCTCCTTAGCAGCGGCTCTTCCTCAGAAGCATGGCGCACTGGAGCACATGCTGTTTGGGGCTGGAAAGCCTGCATTCTGTTTCCAGGTCTAATCATGTCAGGGAGCCTTAGCCTGGCTCACTTCTCGGCACAGTGTGGTGAATTTTAACTGCCCCCTCAGTACAAATGAGTGTCCTCAAAAGTGTCAGGGATGTGGCGATGACCATGGCAGCCCTCTGGACATTGCAGGGTGGGACCCAGGCTATATCTCGCCATATTCACTGCTGAGCTTCCATTCCTCCTACTTGCGGGGTGGCGGGGTTGGGGGGTTTCCTTCCCTTCCCCAACAGCACTTGACTCACGGCTCAGCCAGGCCTCTCTCTCCTTTATGCAGTGCTGGCCACCATCAATTTGCAAAAACTTCACCGGAATACTTTCAGTCAGCTTCATAAAGTCCAGGTAAGGCATCTCAGACAGGCGGGGTTTTACAGCTCCTTCTGCCGCCTATGTAACCGGTGTTCTGTGAAAACAGGCTTGACAAGAAGACCGCAGGTTTTCACCCTGGGGCCTTGGCAGGCTCCAACCCATTTCGGGAGCCTTTTGGGGTGGAGAGGGAGGAGGGAACCTTGCTTGTGTCACCTCCGCTTGTGGATCACTTCATGGAGATGAGCGGGAAGGGTGGGGGTGACGGGAGTCAGAGGGAGATGATGTCCCCTTTCCCCTCTGAAGACAGAGTTCAGAGACAGGCTGTGAGCGTTTGACAGAGGCCTCCCGGGGAGTTCTGGTGGGCCAGCCGTTCCCACCACAGCTATATGCATTATGGGAAGGGACGGTAGCTGTGTGTGCACTGATTTAACAGACGTGGATTGAGAGGCTCCGAACTTCTTCTCAGTGGGTGACCGCCTGTGACAGTTACAAAGAAGGACAAGCCACAGCCCAGCCTCCAGGGAGTACCTCTGTCCTTTCTCTGCAGACTAGCTAGAGTGTGCGCCTCAAGACCAGGCCTGGTCATGGTCTCCTCTGCTTAATATGCTTTCCAGATTGTTCTTTGTGCCCAGGATGACATCCAGCCCCTACACCCTGGCCTGCTGGGGCACTGTAAGCCTTTGCCTCCACTCCCAGCCCTGCCACCCCACCCCTGAGGGCCTTCCTTCCATTCCCACACACTGTGGTGCCCTGGCCTAGCCAAAGACTCCACAGCTCCAGGGCTCTGTCTCCACCCTCCACCCACATTATAAATAAGACTCATGAATCTTGTTTCCTTTTCTCATCAATTTCTTTTCTTTCTTTCTTTCTTTCTTTTTTTTTTTTTTGAGACAGAGTCTTGCTCTTGTTGCCCAGGCTGGAGTGCAATGGTGCAATCTTGGTTCACTGCAACCTCCGCCTCCCAGGTTCTAGTGATTCTCCTGCCTTAGCCTCCCGAGTAGCTGGGATTACAGGTACCTACCACCACACCCGGCTAATTTTTGTGCTTTTTAGTAGAGATGGGGTTTCACCATGTTGGTCAGGTTGGTCTCAAACTCCTGACCTCAGATGATCCACCTGCCTAAGCTTCTCAAAGTGCTGAGATTACAAGTGTGAGCCACTGCGCCTGGCTTTTCATCAATTTCTATACGGTTTCCAACTTAGTGAAAGGAAGGGGCCCTGCCAGGGCTCTGTGGATATGTGACTATCTCTAGTTTTTCAATACCTTCGCTAAGTCTTCTTCCTTTTTTTGTTCTTTCTTGTCGGTTTAACAACTTAATTGAAATCTCATTTATACACCATTACATTCTCCCATTGCAAGCATGCAATTCAGCATACAGAGTTTCACAATCATCACCACAATCCAAAATGTTCATTGCATTTAATGCTCATTGGAGTTAATCCCTTCTGCAGTTCTGGACAGCCACCAATCTGCTTTCTAGTTCTATAAATTTACCTTTTCTAGGCATTTCAGGTAAGTGGACTCATGCAATATTTAGTCTTTTTCATCTGGTTTCTTTCACACAGTGTGGTGTTTTTTTGAGGTTCATCGATGCATGTTGTAGCATGACTCACTGCTTCATTTTCTTTGATAGCTGGTTGGACTGTGCTTGGCTGTCATGTATGTAGAGTCACAGTGAAATCCAAAGGCGGTCCTGGGTTAGTATGTTAATCCCGTGACTGTGCATGTTGAACCAGTCCTGCGTTCCCGAAATGAATCTCATCTGATTGTGAAATATTATCATTTTCGATTTTGCCAGATTTGGCTTATTCCTATTTTTGTTGAGAATTTTTGCTTCCATGTTCATGAGGGACATTGGTCTTTGGTTTTGTTTTCTTAAAAGGTATTTGTTTGGGTTTAGAATTAGGATAACGCTGGCCTAATAAAATGAACTTGGAAATATGCCTCCTTTCCTATTTTCTGGAACAGCTTGTGTAGAATTGTTACTTAATGCTTGGGAATTCACCACTGGAACTATCTGGACCTTTTTCCTTTAAAGCTTTCCTTTTTAGAAGAATTGTAACTTGCAGTTCTATTTCTCTAATTAATACAGGAAAATTAAAGTTATTTCTTCTTGAGTGAGTTTTAACAGTTTATGTCTTTCAAGGATCTAGTCTACTCGTTCTATTCTATTCAATCTACATTTTTGAGTTCATGGGCATAGAGTTGTTTGTGATAATCCCTTGTTAAACCCCTACTGTGTTTGTTGTCATTAGTGATGGCTGTTTTTTCAGTCCTAATATTGCTAACTTTGTGTATTTATTTTGGTTCGTGTGGCTAGAAGTTTATCATTTTTATTGATCTTTGTAGAGAATTAGCCTTCAGCTTAGTTTTGTTTCTCTGTTACTTTTGTGTCTTCAACTCCCTTGGTTTCTGCTCTGATCTTTAGCGTTTTCTCCCTTCTGCTGCCTTCGGATTGCATTTGTTCTTTCTCTTGCTTCTTTCTGTTGGAAATTAAGCTTACTGAGTTGGGACTTCTCTTCATCCAAGCATTTATGCTATACATTTCTCTGTATGCACTAGTTTTGCTGTATCCCACCAATTTTGATGGACTGTGTTTTCATTGAGTTCAAAACATCAAAATATTTTTAAAAATTTCCCCTGAGACTTTATTCTATGCATCAAATAACTCTCAGTTGAGAGTGTGCTGTTTCATTTTTGAACCTTGGAGGATTTTCCAGCTATCATTCTATAACTGATTTCTAGTTTAATACTGTTAAGGCCCTAGAACATACTTGTATAATTTCTGTTCTTTTACATTTGTTAAGGTTTGTTTCATGGATCATAATATGGTTATTCTTGGTGAATGTTCCATGTACATTTGAGAATAATGTGTAGTTTACATTTGTTTATAAATTCCCATCAGGTCAAGCTAATGGATGATATTGGCCAAGTAATCACCATCTTTACTGATTTTCTGCTCACTCATTCCACCAATTATTATGAGCAGAATGTTGACATCTCTAAATATAATCATAGATTGTTTATTTTTCCTTTAGGCCTACTAGTTTTTGTCTCTGTTTTGAGATGCATTCACATTTAGGATTATGATATTTTGTTGGAAGATTGGCCACTGTATCCATTACATAATGTCCCTCTTCCTTGTTCTGAATTCTATTTTGATGTAAATATAGCAACTTTAGCTTTCTTTTAATTAGTATTTGCATGTCATATCTTTATTTATCCTTTTGCTTTTTACATACCTTAAAGTCTGCATTTAAAATGGATTTCTTGTAGACATGTATTTACACATTGCTTTAAAAAATTCAGTTTGGCAGTTTTTGTATTTTAAGATAAGTTGGGTAGATTATTCACATTGAAAGTAGTTATTGATGTGGTTTGAGTAAAATTTACTTTTTGGCAAATTCTTTTCTTTTTTGTACTTTGTCTCTTTCTTGTTCTTTTTACTCCTTTTGCTGAGTGAATGGATAATTTTTTGATTCCATTTTATCTGTGCTGTAGACTTACTACTTATGTCAGTTTAAAAACTTGTAGCTGTTGACCTGGAATTTAAAATACACATTTAAAAATTAACCTAAAACATACTAAAATGTATCTAATATTAGAATTGTACAATAGTATCTTCCTAATTGCCCACTTTACAGACGTCACTTCATTATTGTTTTTACTTCCCTGGTTTCTGATGAGAAGTCTGTATTAATCCTTATCTTTTATTTTCGTGATCTTTTTTCCCCTGGCTACCTTTAGAATTTTGTTTGTCTTTAATTTTCAGAAGTTTGAGTGTAATATGCCTAGATGTGGTTTGTTTCTTAAAATTTGTCCTGCTTGGAGCTGTGGTTTGGTGAAGTTTACCAAACATTAAGTAAGGGATAATAATAATTCTACATAATATGTTCTAGAAAATAGAAAAGGAGAGAATACTTCTAAACTCATTTTATGAGGTTAGCATTGTCCTAATTCCAAAATCAAATAAAAACAACTAAAGACAAGACAACCAAAGACCAATTTTCCTTATGAACATGGAAACAAAAATTCTCAACAAAAGATGAACAAATTGAATCCAGCAATATGTAAAATGATAATACATTACTGATATGCTTTGACTGTGTCCCCACCCAACTCTCTACTTGAATTGTGTCTCCAAGAATTCCCATGTGTTGTGGGAGAGACCCAAGGGGAGGTAATTGAATCATGAGGGCTGGTCTTTCCCCTGCTATTCTCGTCATAGTAAATAAGTTTCATGAGATCTTATTTTCCCTTGCTACTGCCATGTAATAAGTGCCTTTTACTTCCTGCCATGATTCTGAGGCCTCCCCAGCCATGTGGAACTGTAAGTCCAATTAAACCTCTTTCTTCCAAGTCTCATGTATGTCTTTATCAGCAGCATGAAAATGGACTAATATAATTACATTCAAGTGAGACTAATCCTAGGAATGCAAGACTAGGCCATTAATTTTGTAGAATTCTGAGCCATCACTTATTTAGATATTTTCTCTGTCTGTTCTCTCACCTTCTGCAATTCAAATTGCCTGTATGTTAGATCATTTTGTATGGTCTCACAACCCTTGGATGCTGTTTTCTTCCCCACTGTTGTTTTTTCTCTTTACTTTTCAGTTTGGTTAATTTCTATTGACCTATCTTTAAGTTCATTGATTCATTCTGCATACCTGTTGAGTTTAGTGATGAATCTATTGAAGCAATTCTTCATTTCTTTTGCTATGTTTTTGATTTCTAGTGTTTCCATTTGCTTCTTTCTAATAGTTTTCGTCTTTCAGCCAAAATTACCTATCTGATCTTGCATGCTGTCTACCTTATCCATGATAGCGTTAAACATATTAGTCATAGTTATTTTGAATTTCTTGTGTGATTGTTGTGATATCCGTGTCTTATCTGAGTCTGTTTCTGATATCGCTATTGCTTTATCTCTTCCAAGTGTGTTCTTTTTTTGCCTTTTTGTGTGTCTCGTAATTTTTTATTTTTATTTTTATTGAAAACTGCACATCATGTATAGGACATAGATATTGTCTTAGAG